ATATATATATATATATATATTATATATATATATATATATATGTATATATATAATATATAATATATATTATAATATATATATATATATATATGTACACCCAACAACAAAAGCGGTGACACCTTACCAGACCTGGCTTGGAGAGATCTGGCCCTTCTTGCCCTGAAAGGTAGCCCACGTTCAAACAACCTGAACATAGGAAAGGTGGGGGAGGGACTGATCTGAATTTGCTAGGCAAGCAAGGAGTGAGTGTTCTGCTATGCTTCAGTCCCATCCTATCAAGGCTAGCATTCCCCCCCTCTCTCTCTCACACACACACTGTATTTGTAATATTTGTGAGTGTGAATAATGTATCATCTCAAATAACGCCTCTTGAACTATTCGAGGGAAATGGGGTGTAAAGGTTTAGGTATCGATTCCCTTGTTTTCTTTTTATTTAGTTTGGGTGCCTCTTACGAACCAAGACCTCCAGTTGCGTTCATTAATCGCGAAGCAAGGTTTGGTTGGGGTGAGCTTGAGTGTGATGGGCCACTTGTATCCGCCCCTCACAATATTATACTTGCAAAAAGTATTTATATTGATTATATCAATTATATACATATAAAAAGTATTTATATTGATTGGACCTGTTTAATGTTGATACAAATAAACCTAATTCATTAAATTGTTTCCAAAACTGTTGGTGAAAATATATGAAGTACAATGAAATGCAGTGAATATGTGCAGCGGTGCAATATTAGAGTGATAGTGGTGTATATAGGATGTAGGCACTGCAAAACTCATACTATCAACATATCATTTAGTGTCAAATTATTAGGGAAGAGTCTTTAGACCTGGGCAGATTGGGCATTTCCCAGCGAATCCATTTCCCAGCGAGTCCCTTTCCCGGCTCACGTTTGCTCACTCACTCTACCCAAGGCTATGGGAATATTCCCTTAGCCTAGACTCTACTTATTCTTACGCCTTTATTAGTCGTTTCAGTGGCTGTTGTCCAAGAAACCCATTACTTTCGATATCTATTGTTCAATCTGTCTTTTACATATTCATTTCTTTATTTTTGGTAATGAATTAATTGTAAACATTTGGAAAATGTAGTGGGTATGAATATTGTTAAGAGTATTATTATATTTTCCAAATAACATATCAAAAAGTTTACCATTATCAAAAAAAGTGGATCCAGGTGATATAAGACGGAGGAGAGTGAGCAGCTGCTTAGGATAATGCAGAGCCATATATCAATATACGGTTCTGGGATAATGCAAATGAAGGATATTTCTGAAAACTAATATGAATAGTCAGTTCTAACAATGTTTAACCCAATGTCGGTGGAAAAATGGTTTGTTCCCTTTGGCAATGCTTGGTTAAATGTTTCTACACATAGATGGCTCTGCCAATGCTTAGCCACAAAGGAGTTAAGTAGTAGATCTTGCAACCACACTTTATCTTGAAAAAGCGGGAAATACGCTTTTTTTTTTACTAATGCTATCAATATTGAGTGTTATTTTTTTAGAAACATTAAAATTATTATATTGTTACTGACTTTACTAACAGCAATATTAAATATTAGCAAATATTAGCAAAAATCAAGGAAAAGGATAAACAGGTTAGACAGGTAGTTTGCGTAATTGGCTCATTGGTGACAGTACTTGTGGAGCCATCTATATGTAAAAACAATTACTAAATTCAACACACATAATGGGCATTGGCATGTACATACACATGCCAAACTATTTGATAAGATTTCATGATAATCATTTTCGAAATGATATACGCTAACGTACATATACAAATATTATATATACATATATACAAATGGAAACATAATCATATATACAACTTAACAACTAATATATATATATATATATATATATATATATATATATATATATATATATATATTATATATATATATATAATATATATATATATATATATATATTTATATATATATATATAAGTATATTATAATATATATATATATATATATATATATATATATATATATATATATATTATATATATATTTGTATTTATTTATTATATCATATATTTCATATATATATGCATATATATAATATTATATATATATATATATATATATATATATATATATATATATATATATATATATAATATATTCAGAGAAGTAGAGAAGAATCCAGTGGGTGAGGTACGGGGACTGGAATGGGGGGAAGTATCAGGGAAAGTGTCAGGAGGGAGGTATCCAGAGATGGACACCATTGCGACAGAAGGAATTCACATGAGTATCCAGAATGAATGGTGCAGATGGAGAAGGAGAGGATAGGGTGTTGGGAAAAAGTGATAGGAAAAGGGGTAGGATAATATGATGGGGAGGAGGATGATATCTGCAAATAATTTGAAAGTAGAGGGTATAGGAATACAGGGACTGGAGGTGAATGAGGGAGCAGAACATTCTCTTGGGTCATGTCTAAATTTTGGATGTCTTCAAGAGTTTTTGGAGAGGGGGGTGGGAGGTCCAAGA